ATCATTTTCATTATGAGAGTTATTCTATCTTGATTATTCTCGAAAGTTTCTATCCCTTATTTTATTAAAAAAATTACCCCTAAGAATGCATGCTGAAGTTAAAAAATATTTAAACAATACTCAATTATACGAGATTTCCACATAGTTAACTAACACAACACCATTGAAGAAGCTTGAATATATATATCAAGAGTGTTTGAAGCTTACATCTAGTAGAATTTTGTGAAGAAGGGGGAAAGCTAGAGATTGAAAGAAGTTGATTCTATGTTCAACAACAGTTTCTGGAGAATGGACAAACCTATCTTATATGGCTCCCCATCAACATCTATGGGAGTGATGTGCATTCAATCATCAGTCTTGATACACCTTAATTTATAAATGTTACAGTAAATGAAAATTGATGTAGTAATGCATAGAAACCTTGCCAAATTAGAATTGTAAGAGCTGTGAGGAGAAGAGAGAGCATCTGGCAAAAACACTTATTTCCATTGTCTTATTTTCATTTAGTAGATTCAACAGCATTACAACTGAACTGAATCAGGTGAACTATCAAATGAAGTGCCTGTAAGATAAAATTATCATTTTCCCAAGAAAATGACCTCAAGCATGTAGCAAGAAACAGAGCATGTAGCAGGAAACAGACTTTCCACATCGAGAGATCAAAGAATTTTCACATACATGATAGCTTTGAAATTGAGAAACAAAGGTTAATTACCATGGGTGGTTTGTGGTAGCTTCCATGATTTTTTTTTCTTTTTTTTTTAAAGAGAGCAATGAGTACACTAAACACTACAATGGGGAAGGAGGTGAAAGTCATTTCCTGGAACCAAGACCTGATGCCACACACACCACAAAAGCCTTTACCTCCGGCTGGAATATTGTTGTCCATCCCTGAGTTCTGTAGAAGGTGTTATTTAATGAGGTGAAACACTAGTCTCCAAGATATACTAGAAACTATAAAGGATAAAATAAGACTTCTTTTGAACTGTTCAATCAAAATTAGCAGCATTTGCAATGATAATTAGCAGAAAGAGGTAGATACCTTGTGTAGTTCCCCCGCTCTCCAGCAGTGCAGGTAACTTCTTGGTGGAATATTCCATGGATCTCAAACGTACTGAAACTAAATTGTATGCTTTTACAGGGTAGAGATTCTTTCTACTGCATCTGATTATGGGCTATATAAATAACAGCATATAACATTAATAGTATGTTTGAATTGAGAGAAATGAAGGGGAAGAGAAATTTTTTCTTTATTTTATTTTTTCTTTTAATTTAATTACTTATCTAAATAAAGGGAAGGCTCTTCCCTTTCTCTTTCGTTCCCTTCAACCCAAACATAGGGTAAATGATGCAGAGATTGACTTCATAAATTTTCAATGAAGACCTTTGCAGTCTTTACAATGCCTTAGCCCAATCTACTATAAAAAGGAACATTCACCAAATCTGCTGCGTCTTACTAGTAAAATGAGAAATATCTTTTTCTGTTTCTTGTTCTTTCTCCAATTACTAATAATCATAAACAAAGAAAGGAGAAACAATAAAGGAAACAGGAAAAATAAAAAGCAAATAGAGGGAGTCAAAGGAAATTAGCAATGATGGTGTGGAGAAAGACTATGATTATACTATATTAGCATCTCTTTCTTGTTTGAGAAAGTGCTGATTTCATTTTCAGCACATTACGGGTATTTTCTCTCTTCTTTTCCTTTCTCTCTTTTTTTTTTCCCTCCCTTTTGTGTTAAGAGTAGATAAATAAATAGTGACTGTTGAAAGATATTAAGGGAAAAATAATGGATTATATGGTCACAGACTCATTAATTTCAAATGTCAAAAAGAAAATAACATTATGGTGGTAGCTGTTACATGGCAATTTGTTGCCATTCCTTTTACATTCAGCTCAACTGATCTTGTCTTATGCAAAAAGAATTCATAATAAGGATTTAAAGAATCACATATGGGGAAGTTATAGATCTCAATACAAGTAAAAAGTCCAAAATCCTTTAAGAATCCAAATCTAAATATTAATCCTCCTAAAATGCATTGGAATCTTGTGGCAATCTGCAATCATATGCAGATTCCACACCTCAAATAAAACTTATAAGTTAAGACTTTAGAGCTCAAGCTTTGAGCCACCTAACTGGCTCAATAGAATGGCCATATCCATACCCTGGATCATAGTCGGCACAGCAGTCTCATAAGGACAATCTCGAGAAAATCCAACCTTCCCAGATTTTTGTACTTTCTTTATGCAGGTCTTGAACTTCTCGTGGCATTTAACATTAATCAAACCTGCAAAACCAATATCAGTTAACATACCCTTTAACACAAAACCACCAGAAGTAGAATTATTCTCCCATCAAACTAGCAATCTGTAATCTTAAGACAGTAACACGATGATGTTAGAAAAATCAATGTCCATTTGTCCTTTGGATAAAGATTAGAAAGCCATACTACATACATAATAAGCACATAATTTGCGAATACAAGGTGCTGATACTAGTCTAATTCTACTTTGGTTCAGTTAAGAGTAACCAAAACAAATGACCGTAAGCAACCTACCATGTTAAAAAGGACTGAGAATAAGAAGCCAACTTATTTCCCAAAAATTGCAGTTGTTTGGCATTTCTTTTAACTTCTCTAAGTAACATCAAATGAATCAAAGAAATTTCAAATTGCATGGCTCAAACAGTCAAGGGCTTATCAGCAATTTCTCTGGCTCCAGTCTAATTGAATGCAAATAACAGAAGTTAACTAAGCTGCCCACAACAAATAAAGAGTTGAACCTAATTGAATTAAAATGAATACTTTTCCAGTCAAAATTTAACCAAAATTACCTATTTCCTCAGCATCTATTCAAGCTGATGCATGAGGAAAAACCGAAAATTTTTAGCTAACTCAAGCAAAATAAACATCAAACAACTATCACTCCGTGAACACAGAACATATTCAATTGCTAACAATAGCATCGCAATTGTCAAACATGACATCGGAAATTTGGAATTATACATATTAAATACCTTTTTTCTCGACGCACTCATCGTGGATCTTGCAACAAGCGTCTAGATCGTCACACGGTTTCTCGCCGGGACAACCACTCCAACCTACTCCACAATATTTTCCGTATCGAATCCCAACAGCTTCATTACAGATTCAAGAAAAAAGAAACAAAAATATATAAGTATACAATTAACCATTGTAGAATTCTCAGGAATAAATCTTAAGATCGATAGGCATGGGACTTACAGTTACAATTTTCTGCAACGCAGGTTCTGCTACATTTGACCTAATCAACCAAAATATTTTGGATCGAATAAATTTCTATCTGCGAAACAAATTAACGAAGAGCCAAGCAATCCGACCTTTTACCTGAGAATCATTGGTTGCGGAGTCGACGAAGACGGCGAGGAAGATGATGGTGAAGGCGAATGATGCTAGGAGACGTTTCCGAGCAGCGACGACCCAGCCGGGCAGCATTCTCTCTCCGGATTCTGGTCTCCTCCTCTCCAAGAAGTAGTCTACGCGTCGTTCTTTTTCGCTCCAATTGCCATCGAGTGTTTAATTATAAAAATAAGAAATATTTATAAAATATTCAAATGGCTCTTTTTTTTTTAGCAATCTGAGTTACCTCGAGATAATATTTTTTAAATTTAGTTAAAGAGAAATTATTTATTTTTTATTTACTTTTACTATTTACAAAATATATTAAATTTAATTAATTTTATATTAAATCA